AGACCATCACACTGTCTCCACCATGTCTGATGGTTGGGATGATGGTATTAGGGATGTCTGATATTATCAGCCGATATCAGCACAGATAATGCTGAAGTGTGCATGATAGGAGATATGTGGGTTTTTTGTGGGGGTTAGGGTTAGGGTATATCGGTATCAGAAATGAGACTAGAGCTAGACTGTCAGTGTATTGGCTAACTGTAAAACAATGCAAGTATTGAACATTCCCTGTTTTCTTAAAGACCAAGTTCACTTTTTTATTAGAATAGAATATGAATCCCACAGTGGGGTCATTCATTTGCTACAGCAGCACACACACTGAAGAAAAGTAATAAAGTACAGGTAAATACACAAAGCTATTATTGTAATCTTCAACCACTAAAAAACATTGAATAAAAGGAAACGTGGTTTTATTCAGTGATCTCTGGTGTAAATGAATGCCTTGTGAGTCCATCTCTGTGGGGGGAAAGCTCTGGCGCTCCTGTTTCAAGAATTAGAAGTGAGCCAGATCAGAGGGGAGCAGAACACGAAGTCTTACTTCCTGATATTTGGACATCTCAACTCTTATTGGCTAACAGCCATTTGACTCTACCACTGACTCCATTTGCTCTGCAACAAAAAACAAGCCGAAGGAGTTCTGATATTTTGTGGAGTTGCTAATGCTAACAGTTAGCTTGTACTAGCCAAAACGTGCTCTGCTCTCTCCTGGTTGCTAAATCAGCAACAGCCTTCCCGGTCACGAGCCTATATGGACGAGTCCATGAATGCTGATTTTCAGTGTGATGTAGATCAGGAAATAGGGGTGTGACCCCGGCTGCACACTGAACGGTTTACTCGCGACAATCACAGCACTCCAGTGCACACTGGGAGAGTCTCAGCTGCGAAGCGGCTTCCCTGCCGTGCTCCTCGACCCGCGAGATCATACGATCACTCGAGACTTCCCGCCAACCTCCTTGCGAGATCCACTGCCAGGATTAATGACATGAAAAAACACAGTTCTGCGCTTCAGGAACAATGCTGCGAGTGAATAAGCCGTTAGGTCACACGTAAGCATTTCTATGAAATAGCATCGCTGCAATACTTAATTTTGAAAATCACCAGGGATTTTACTCTGAAACTTTGTGTGATTTCCTGTCTAGCGGGATTTTACTCTGAAACTGTGTGTGATTTCCTGTCTAGCCCTACGCTCACTGCAGCAGTTGGTGCATCCCAGAAGCGGCTCGCGGAGGCATGATGCTATCGTTAGCGGCGCGTCTGAAATTGCCGCGTCGCGGCTGGTTTGTTACACTCTATAAAAGATTGTATTTGAAGCAGCCGCTGATGCTTCCAAGTGCGCAGTAGGGGCAAGACTGTTTTCACGTTTGATCTGCATGTTAAACTCATGATGATCAGATTTTATAAACAAGTCAAAAACGGTTTCTCAGTGAACTTGGACTTTGACTGCAGATTAAACGAGACGCACACCTTCAAAAACGTCCCTTATTTTTCTCGTCAATCCACAGAGAAAATCCTCAAAGATTTCAGGATCAGAAAACCGTTTTTAGGTAAATATGAAACGGGTCACGGTGTTACTTTTGCTCAGCAAACGGTACTTCAGCCGCTGATGCCCGTTGACTCGGGACCTCTGACCCTAAACGTTCACCAAGCGAGGCCTTTAGAAGCTGTTCTGGGTTCTTTTAGCCATGTTCATGATGTCGGTCAGGCTTTATCGAAGGATGTCTCACATCTACAGGTTAGGGTTTTTTACAGCAGTGGAGTTACATCTGGAACTTTAACTTTCACAGATATTTCATACATTATTAGAAAAGCTGGAGTAACGCTAAGATTCCCAGTAAGAGGTTTTTGGGTTCTACAGATTTCCGACTCGTCTGAGCCGGTGTGTTTCAGCGACGTGTTTAGTGTGTTAAAACATTGCAGGACGGTTATTCATCACCGCAGCGACGCAGCAGGTCCAACACGAAGATTAGGATTTATGATGCAGTTCATCCCGGGAATGAGGTGAGCTTGTGGAACCAGTGTAGCAGGATGGTGATGTGTCACCTCCTTGTGTCGTCCTGCTTCCTGGTTACGGAGCAGAAACCAGACCAGGCTGATTAGTCATGAGTCCCAGGACGTGACCACACCGCCGTCTCATAGCTCAGTGGGTCCTCCCGGGTGCGTTACTGCTTTATTAGGTTAGATTAGATCCACGTTATCAGTGAGACAGACCCAAGGTAGCCTGGGAGCTTCCATGTCGAAGGCTGGTGCATTCTTTTATGTCTTAATGTAATAAAGTGTTGACTCTGCTCCCGAACCGTAAAACGTCAAACCGGATTGTGCAACATGCCAGAGACATGAATTCTAACAGCTATTGTGTTTAATTTGGTTTATGGGAAGATTTGCTTTCTAAGCTTCACATCTGAGTGTTTTTTGTTTTCTTAAACTCAAATGGAACAAGAAGGTCTGTTTCAGTGGAGAGAAAACACGTGACGCCCCTTAGTGCTGACCTCGATGAGGAAAATATTACAACATTATTTCTCATCCAGATTTTTAAAGGGATTCTTTGCAACTTTTTCATATTTTTAAATCGTTTTCTTGAAGCAGTTTGTGCTAAAATGACTCTTTCCAGCCGGGGTAGGGAAGCCTGGTTCCGGAGAGCTGCTGTCCAGCACGTTTTAGAGTTTTCCCTGCTTTGACAGAGTTGATTCACCTGTTCAGCAGCTCATCGAGCTCTGCAGAAGCCTGTTAGTCACCTGCTGATTAAAATCAGGTGTTTTGACGCAGGGAAACCTCTAAAACGTGCTGGATAGCAGCTCTCCACGACCAGGGTTCCCTACCCCTACTTTACAGGGTTAATGCCCCTATCGCCCCCTGTGGCAGGAATCATCCACTTGCAACTTCAGATAGGCAGGGTGATCTGTTGGGACTTGGGCGGTCTGTTTTCAGCACATTTCCTGCCTGTTTTAGATCAGGAACACAACCGATTTGTTAAATCTAGTGATGAATCACTCCTCTAGATACTAATGAAGGCTGGGGAGACATTTGAGCTGATTAAGGTGTTAAAAAGACAAACGCACAGCGAAGAGATAGGTTTAGCTTTTGGTTCAACTAACGGACTAACACTAGGGGGTGCTAAAAGCAAGTAAAACATTCTAGTTCCCCTTTAATCCTTCTCAGACTTTGTCATCATTATCTTATGAAAATGCATCAGTTACACACAGGCTAATGAAGATCTTTGAACTTTGTTATTTTGACATTTTATCATCTAGAAATCGACTGATATGGAGTTTTCTATTGCTGATACTGATGTTGACGTAGAGGTCATGGTCAGCCGATGACCGATATATGCTGCTGATTTTTTCGAGCCAGCTTTCACGGCCGATATCGAGGCAATTCTGCTTTGTTTACATGCTAACATCACTAACAACAGTGGATGCACATGAACCTGGATCAGCTGTTGAACTCTGATTTCACCCAACTGTTGAATCTTAATTCTCTTCACTGAAATCAGACGTGTAACCAAGTGAATCAAACAAATCAGTAAACTGGCCAACCTTTAAAATCAAAACAGGTAAATAAAAAAGAAATTTCACGTGACAATATAGTTTTAAAGAGTTTATTTTGTTATGCAGAAACTTAAACATACATATAAATAATACTGGGCTGCCCAATGCGCCTGGCATGATATCATCTCAACTAAAGAGGTGGAATATCGGCCGTCCAGTATCAGTCTACCCCTAATGTCATCTATAGTCTGACGAGTACAAATGTGCTATTTTCTGATCATCTTTATTTGATTTGAGGATCTTGACACTTTCCTCCTGTTTCCTCTTCAGGCTACCTTCCCAACGGCATCCATGCGCTAGAGGCCATGTTAGCAGCCGCCAGCATCGGAGCCATTTGGAGCTCCACGTCTGTTGATTTTGGAGTCAATGTAAGAATTAGTCTGACTTATTTCTGCCAGATTACTTTGATCTACTTCTGCTCATGCATCATGCAGCATGTCGGTAGCTCTCTTTTAGGCTCATATCCTTCATTTCAGCAATATTTCCCTGAAAACATCAACTAAGTGTTTTAACTTAGTTTATTCTTTGAATCATCAGCAAGTCTGTGCATAAAAGTGTGTCAGAGTGACATTTTGCCTTCCCAAGTTTTGCTCTGAGTCACCCCGGGCTGGTCTGAGATTAGATATTAGATTATTTCATCTGGGAGATCTCATTTCTGGTCGGCTGTCATCCTGGTCCTTTCAGCGCTTTGGGCTTCCTGACAGGGTTGCGGAAGGCGCTTTATAAATAAAGCTTTGATTGATTGATTGATTGATTTGGTCCTGGATTCATGTTTTTGATGTGATGCTGCCCCCTCTGGCTGATTTCAGAATGACATTTGACCATTCTAGTTGACATCAATAAGTCAATTCTGCTCTAATAGAGCTGTAAATGCTCTGGATTATAGTCTATAATCCAGGTTGGGCGTGCGTTATCGATGAAATCACATGATTTTTATTTTCACTGTCATTGAGTTTACCTGCGAACTTGAATGATTCGGTTTGCTCTAACTTTTTAATTTTATCCCTTTTTTTTTTAAACACAGGGTGTCCTGGACCGGTTTTCACAAATCCAGCCCAAACTGATCTTCTCCGTCGCTGCCGTGGTTTACAACGGAAAAGTGCACGACCACATGGAGAAGCTGACGAATGTTGTTAAAGGTTGGCAGCTGCACGTTTCAGAGTTGATCTGTATAAATTCCTGGGAACCATCCTTGTGATGAAAACTGTAGTTTTATCATCTGAGTTGTGGAAATGTGCCGTGTGGCTGGACTACCGCGTACACGCTACGTACGCATTATGTGTCTACGTAATACTAAAACACCTAGGCAGTAAAGCTCAAACAGGATTTTCACCTCCTACTTACTGGTAAACAGCGATTTGAAACAAGACAAACAAACTGGAACTGGAAAAGTTACACAGCTGATTATTATATTTTTTCTTGATTAAACTTAATGAAAGACTCTTGATTTTCAAAATAAGGGATTGAAGTTTAGTGGCATGCATGGTTTTCTTTAGGAGAGCCACAGAAAAACAAACTGTGATATAAAAGTGACACTTTAGTGGCTTTAAAGCTAGAGTGTAATATTTTTACTTGTTTACTATCAAATTCTGTCCTTTTTCATTATTTCTCTCCAACGTCTGTTCCAAATATTCCTACTAGCTTGGAATTTTACATTTTTACCTACAAAAGTTCTGGTCGATGCTCCGTAGTCATGTGCCGTCTTGTAATACGGTAGCTGTTTAGGGACATACAAGATTTAACCTTTCACGTTTGTGATTTGACATGAAAGTCCTCCCTCTAAACGTGGTGCGGGGGTGGTGCCGTCTTCTCTCAGGGTTCTGGGTTCCTCTTTGGTTTGCTTGTCCGGCTCTAACTACATGTGATTGCTGGATTGTAAGCTAGAAGCTGTCTATGTCTGTGGCAGTGCGCGCATGGCCGCGGGGGAGAGGGAGACGAGTGACGCGACAGATGTGGCAGCAGTGAGCGGGAAGATGCATCTGCTGCAAATGACCAATCAGACACGTTCTACATATATTCACAGGACGCTGACGGGGGCTCTAGATTCCCTGAGAGACACTTTAACTGCAGGAAGCAGCAGAAACAGTAAATAATACATGCAGACTGTTGGTGTGTGGTGTTTTCTGTGTGTGACCCATGAAGCAGCTGTCAGTGCGACATGTCTCCCTCTCTCCCACAGCCGTGTGCGCTCCGCCACGATGGCACGTAGCCTTTTTGATGCGTGTGGGCTACTGTAGCTGCAGTACCTACTCTGAACTGCAGGGGGTTAAGGAGGCTTTTCAGCTGTAAACTTTGAAGAGAAAACAAAATCATCATCCTCCATCTCCTTCTCTTACTAAAGGCCTGCCTGACCTGAATAAAGTAGTTGTGATTCCCTACGTTCGCTCCAAACAGGAAACTGACCTCTCCAAAATCCCCAACAGGTTTGTTGACCTGAAATTTAAATAACAAATCTTAATTGTTTTTCATCTCCTCTCTATGTCATGTGATTGTTTTTCTCACTTTTATTTTATTTTGAAAGTGTGTTCATCGATGATTTCCTGGCGTCTGGACGCGGTGAGGGGGACCAGTTCCCTCAGCTGGAGTTTGAGCAGCTTCCGTTCAACCATCCTCTGTTCATCATGTACTCGTCTGGAACCACCGGTGCTCCTAAGTGCATGGTCCACTCCGCTGGGGTGAGAACCACGACGGTTTATTAGCTCTCTCGCTGTTAGGCTGGCACGAACACAAGGCGATCGAGTGTTTGATTATGTAATCCCACTCATGGAAAGGCGCTTCTGTGTTCTTATTTGTCCTCGTGTAATAAATTACATAACTGCAGTGTGTCTGAACGCTTCAGAGGGTTTAGACACAGCTGTTGCTGAGCTCTCCGGGGCCGATCCACATGTGTTGCATGATTTACATCAATGTTATTTTACACCTCAATAAAATAACATAAGACCCTTTTGTCTATACGGAGATTAGACGGACCTTTGGCTGACGGTAAAAGCTAATGGTCTTATGGATTTGTGTGTTCTGGTTCAATGTCTCTCCTTGTTGACTGATCTGATCAATCGTTTGTGTGTTTGTTTTGCCTTGAATGACTCTCTGTTTAGCATTTTATTCTATGAAAGCATTAGTAAGTAACTAGGATTTAAAACGATGCAATCTGACACCAAAAAGAGCAGAACAAAACAGCTGTAGTACTTCTGCTGTAAGCTTTACTACCACTAGGTGGCAGCAGACTTCCACCTGCAGGTCTTAGTTGTTGTATGAACGACATCTTCCTGCTGCACATGTTCTCTGCAGGAGGCAAAGATTGTGAAAAAGGTGTGATTTAAAAGGATGTTCACACTTAAAAACAGGAAACACTCACTGTTCGTAATTATTTAAAACACTGAAACACCAGGATGTAAAAAAGCTGTTATTCTTCTCTTTCCTTGGTTCTGGCTTTGCTTTTGTCGATCCAGCCCATCATTATGATTAGTTTCTACCGTACCTCTGTGTACTTTTCTCCTCTCAGCTCTTTTTATCTCTCGCTCTCCGCCCACACATTTTACCCTCTCTCTCTCTCTCTGCTATTGTCTCTGGCTTTGTCCCATACTCCCATCTCTTTCCTTTGTGCTTCCTCCCTCTTTCCATGCGGCCGATAATTGGACTGTAATGCACCGCCGAAAACATTTCGTATTGTGACGATGGCAGTCCTCGCTGCCTCAGCCAATTAGCCCTGGTCCCGTTCTGCTTTTTGCTTTGTTACGGCTCTGTTAACATGCTGTCAGGAGCAAAGTGGCACACACCAAAAGGCAGGTATGGCAGCTGAGTCCTGCCAAAGTTAGTATACACACACACACACACACACACACACACACACACACACACACACACACACACACACACACACACACACACAGACACGGGGGGAGCACCTGTGAAACAGAAAGTACAGCTAAGCTCAGACCTTAAACCCACGCTCATTTTCTCTACAGCGTACACTCTCCTTCAGCTGTAACGACCTCTCCTTCAGCTGTAACGACCTCTCCTTCAGCTGTAGCGACCTCTCCTTCAGCTGTAACGACCTCTCCTTCAGCTGTAGTGACCTCTCCTTCAGCTGTAACGACCTCTCCTTCAGCTGTAACGACCTCTCCTTCAGCTGTAGCGACCTCTCCTTCAGCTGTAACGACCTCTCCTTCAGCTGTAACGACCTCTCCTTCAGCTGTAACGACCTCTCCTTCAGCTGTAACGACCTCTCCTTCAGCTGTAGCGACCTCTCCTTCAGCTGTAACGACCTCTCCTTCAGCTGTAACGACCTCTCCTTCAGATGTAACAACCTCTCATTCAGCTGTAACGACCTCTCCTTCAGCCGTAACGACCTCTCCTTCAGCCGTAACGACCTCTCCTTCAGCTGTAGCGACCTCTCCGTCAGCTGTAGCGACCTCTCCTTCAGCCGTAACGACCTCTCCTTCAGCCGTAACGACCTCTCCTTCAGCTGTAACGACCTCTCCTTCAGCTGTAACGACCTCTCCTTCAGCCGTAACGACCTCTCCTTCAGCCGTAACGACCTCTCCTTCAGCCGTAACGACCTCTCCTTCAGATGTAACAACCTCTCCTTCAGCTGTAACGACCTCTCCTTCAGCCGTAACGACCTCTCCTTCAGCCGTAACGACCTCTCCTTCAGCCGTAACGACCTCTCCTTCAGCCGTAACGACCTCTCCTTCAGCCGTAACGACCTCTCCTTCAGCCGTAACAACCTCTCCTTCAGCTGTAACGACCTCTCCTTCAGCCGTAACGACCTCTCCTTCAGCCGTAACGACCTCTCCTTCAGCCGTAACGACCTCTCCTTCAGCCGTAACGACCTCTCCTTCAGCCGTAACGACCTCTCCTTCAGCCGTAACGACCTCTCCTTCAGCTGTAGTGACCTCTCCTTCAGCTGCAACGACCTCGCCTTCAGCTGCAACGACCTCGCCTTCAGCTGTACCGACCTCTCCTTCAGCCGTAACGACCTCTCCTTCAGCTGTAGCGGCCTCTCCTTCAGCTGTAGCGGCCTCTCCTTCAGCCGTAACGACCTCTCCTTCAGCTGTAGCGACCTCTCCTTCAGCCGTAGCGACCTCTCCTTCAGCCGGTAACGACCTCTCCTTCAGCCGGTAACGACCTCTCCTTCAGCCGTAACGACCTCTCCTTCAGCCGTAACGACCTCTCCTTCAGCCGTAACGACCTCTCCTTCAGCCGTAACGACCTCTCCTTCAGCCGTAACGACCTCTCCTTCAGCTGTAACGACCTCTCCTTCAGCTGTAACGACCTCTCCTTCAGCTGTAACGACCTCTCCTTCAGCTGTAACGGCCTCTCCTTCAGCTGTAACGGCCTCTCCTTCAGCTGTAACGACCTCTCCTTCAGCTGTAGTGACCTCTCCTTCAGCCGTAACGACCTCTCCTTCAGCCGTAACGACCTCTCCTTCAGCCGTAACGACCTCTCCTTCAGCCGTAACGACCTCTCCTTCAGATGTAACAACCTCTCCTTCAGCCGTAACGACCTCTCCTTCAGCCGTAACGACCTCTCCTTCAGCCGTAACGACCTCTCCTTCAGCCGTAACGACCTCTCCTTCAGCCGTAACGACCTCTCCTTCAGCCGTAACGACCTCTCCTTCAGCTGTAGTGACCTCTCCTTCAGCTGCAACGACCTCGCCTTCAGCTGCAACGACCTCGCCTTCAGCTGTACCGACCTCTCCTTCAGCCGTAACGACCTCTCCTTCAGCCGTAACGACCTCTCCTTCAGCTGTAGCGGCCTCTCCTTCAGCCGTAACGACCTCTCCTTCAGCTGTAGCGACCTCTCCTTCAGCCGTAACGACCTCTCCTTCAGCCGTAACGACCTCTCCTTCAGCCGTAACGACCTCTCCTTCAGCTGTAACGACCTCTCCTTCAGCCGTAACGACCTCTCCTTCAGCCGTAACGACCTCTCCTTCAGCCGTAACGACCTCTCCTTCAGCTGTAACGACCTCTCCTTCAGCTGTAACGACCTCTCCTTCAACTGTAACGACCTCTCCTTCAGCTGTACCGACCTCTCCTTCAGCTGTAACGGCCTCTCCTTCAGCTGTAACGACCTCTCCTTCAGCTGTAGTGACCTCTCCTTCAGCTGTAACGGCCTCTCCTTCAGCTGTAACGGCCTCTCCTTCAGCTGTAACGGCCTCTCCTTCAGCTGTAACGGCCTCTCCTTCAGCTGTAACAACCTCTCCTTCAGCTGTAACGACCTCTCCTTCAGCTGTAGTGACCTCTCCTTCAGCTGTAACGGCCTCTCCTTCAGCTGTAACGACCTCTCCTTCAGCTGTAACGACCTCTCCTTCAGCTGTAGTGACCTCTCCTTCAGCTGTAACGACCTCTCCTTCCGCTGTAACGACCTCTCCTTCAGCTGTAACGACCTCTCCTTCAGCTGTAACGACCTCTCCTTCAGCTGTAGTGACCTCTCCTTCAGCTGTAACGACCTCTCCTTCAGCTGTAACGACCTCTCCTTCAGCCGTAACGACCTCTCCTTCAGCTCTAACGACCTCTCCTTCAGCTGTAGCGACCTCTCCTTCAGCTGTAGCGACCTCTCCTTCAGCTGTAGCGACCTCTCCTTCAGCTGTAACGACCTCTCCTTCAGCTGTAACGACCTCTCCTTCAGCTGTAGTGACCTCTCCTTCAGCTGTAACGGCCTCTCCTTCAGCTGTAACGACCTCTCCTTCAGCTGTAGCGACCTCTCCTTCAGCTGTAGCGACCTCTCCTTCAGCTGTAACGACCTCTCCTTCAGCTGTAGTGACCTCTCCTTCAGCTGTAACGGCCTCTCCTTCAGCTGTAACGACCTCTCCTTCAGCTGTAACGACCTCTCCTTCAGCTGTAGTGACCTCTCCTTCAGCTGTAACGACCTCTCCTTCAGCTGTAACGACCTCTCCTTCAGCTGTAACGACCTCTCCTTCAGCTGTAACGACCTCTCCTTCAGCTGTAACGACCTCTCCTTCAGCTGTAGTGACCTCTCCTTCAGCTGTAACGACCTCTCCTTCAGCCGTAACGACCTCTCCTTCAGCCGTAACGACCTCTCCTTCAGCTGTAACGACCTCTCCTTCAGCTGTAGCGACCTCTCCTTCAGCTGTAGCGACCTCTCCTTCAGCTGTAGCGACCTCTCCTTCAGCTGTAACGACCTCTCCTTCAGCTGTAACGACCTCTCCTTCAGCTGTAGTGACCTCTCCTTCAGCTGTAACGGCCTCTCCTTCAGCTGTAACGGCCTCTCCTTCAGCTGTAACGACCTCTCCTTCATCTGTAACGACCTCTCCTTCAGCTGTAACGACCTCTCCTTCAGCTGTAACGACCTCTCCTTCAGCTGTACCGACCTCTCCTTCAGCTGTAACGACCTCTCCTTCAGCTGTAGTGACCTCTCCTTCAGCTGTAACGACCTCTCCTTCAGCTGTAACGACCTCTCCTTCAGCTGTAGCAACCTCTCCTTCAGCTGTAACGGCCTCTCCTTCAGCTGTAACGACCTCTCCTTCAGCTGTAGCGACCTCTCCTTCAGCTGTAACGACCTCTCCTTCAGCTGTAGTGACCTCTCCTTCAGCTGTAACGACCTCTCCTTCAGCTGTAGTGACCTCTCCTTCAGCTGTAACGACCTCTCCTTCAGCTGTAACGACCTCTCCTTCAGCTGTAACGACCTCTCCTTCAGCTGTAACGACCTCTCCTTCAGCTGTAGCGACCTCTCCTTCAGCCGTAACGACCTCTCCTTCAGCTGTAGTGACCTCTCCTTCAGCTGTAACGACCTCTCCTTCAGCTGTAACGACCTCTCCTTCAGCTGTAACGACCTCTCCTTCAGCTGTACCGACCTCTCCTTCAGCTATAATGACCTCACCAACTGTGATGGGTTCCAAACTTTGCTCTTTCCACAAATTACATGTTTTATAAAGCAAAGCAGCGTCTGAAGAAGTCGGGGCTACAGGCGTCTTACGAGCAGACACTGAAGGGCGTATCGTTCTGGTAAACAGTGTGCAGCAGAATGTAAATAACAAGTTAGACGCAACATTTTGATGTGAGCTGTTTCATAACTAACTTCTGAATGTTTTACATGAATGTAGCCCCGTTGGTCCACACATGCACAACAAAGGTTGTGCACGCTAATACACTTTTTCCTCCTGTCTCTTTAGGGCACTCTCATCCAGCATTTGAAAGAGCACATTCTCCACGGCAATATGGCCACCAGTGATGTCATCATTTATTACACTACGGTATGTTCATTATAATTGTAAGATCACACAGTTTGATATTTATTTATTTTATTTTAAAGGGGCCCTAGAACAACAATTTCTTTACTATTGGAAACTGTTCTTTTGACTTAATTTAAATATGAAACTATGTTCACACTCACACTGACCTAGGAGCCCCGATAAAGGGTCCAACACACCCTATAACAAGCTCTGCAGTGGAAAGTCTGGTTTGCCCTTCCCACTTTTCCAGGATATGAATATAAAATGAGCTGCATGCTGATTGGCCAGTTTGCCCCAATGACTCGATGATGTTGCCTTAAGCTTGAAACTCTGTGTGCAGCTGTGTACAGTGTCTGACAGTGTCTTCGACATTCTCAGTTTTCCTCATCCAACACATCAGCTTAACTTGGGCTAGCATTGTTCTGCAATTAGCATAACAACACCGTTTCTACGCAGGACAAGGTTGGCTCTGAACGGCATTGATCGGAATTTGCAGATGACTCTTTTTTTTCTTTTCTATGGGAATCAGCTGATTTCGATCAGCGGCCAAAGCCACACATTGGAGCTCCTGCACACATTTTCCATGATTGTGTGGTAATGCAAAAACGTCCGGCGAATTCTTCTTCGTTGGTATTCAGAGGCATCTTCTGGTCACTGGACTGGGAATCATAACTAGGAACTGAAGTAAAAACATTGAACAGTTCTTGGGAAAACTGACAATTAGTCCTGGTTTCAGTCGATGCTCAATGCCTGACGCTCAACCCAGCATTAGACACTAAGTTGTCTCAGAAACAAGCTAAATGTAGTTCTGATTTCTAGGACACCTTTAAAGCTTAATGATTCATTCACTATTATGTCAGTGCGCCCCAGGGCAGCTGTGGCTACATTGTAGTTCATCACCATCAGTGTGTGAATGTGTGTGTGAATGGATGAATGATACACTGTAGTGTAAAGCGCTTTGGAGTCCTTACTCTGAGAGGCGCTATACAAGTGTGGCTCATTTATCATTTATGTGACTTTTTTTTTACTATTAAATGATGGAAAGTACAGAAATGTAGCTTTTTGTATTCCAACCTTTACAGAAAGGCTTAGAGTTGTTTGCTATTCCCTAAAAAACATGTTCAAGACGGCTCTAAAACACGGAACTACTAGATCTTCTCAATCACGTAGTGAATATGGTGTAATCACCTGCTGGAGAGCAGCTTAAGTACCTGCGTGTTTGCTCTTTGTCCGTCACCGTAAAAGATCTCGTTAGGATTCATCAACGAATGTGACTCATTCAGCGTCAGCCATGTTCACCTGGTTTCTCCTGCTCCAACGCAACACAAATGCCAAGCCGTTAGCTTTTGTACTGATGTCCTGATGATGTGCGCCCTTTTGGCATTTGTCTTCGTACGCTTCTGTAGAGCCCTTCAGATCGCCACGCTTCTCTCCTCTATAGACCGTGAGAAAATACGACTGAGTCTAGAGTTAAAGGTGGACTCCTGACACAGCTGGAAGTTGAATGAGGGCGTCTGTCCTGACTTGAGTGCTCTGACTCACTGTTGAGGACTTAAACCAGGTGCTTTTTCCTTCTCTTGACTAAATTGAACAACTCAGTGTTTTACAGATGGAGAGTCGCAGACAGTAAATAAAGCAGCGTGTGTTTAGGAAGACTCCCGAGGCTTCCTGAGGAAATATTTAAAAAACAGGCTTAATAAGAAGTACTTAAGGAATGTTTAGATTTGTTCGGTACGACCCCACCTGACAGGGATCTGATTCAGAAAACAGTTTTGGGAAGAGCTTTTGACATAATTCTAAATCACAGAGTTTGTGTCATGTTCTGGTGGAGGTGTCTAACCCAAGACATGCAGAGTCAAACCCAAGACTCAGAATGATGAGAAAAAATAAGATTTTATTTTAAAACGGTAACCAAAGGCGCACTGGGAATTCCAGCGGAACTGGGAACGGGACTGCATCGTCTGGAGGGGAGAGCAGAATGAGGTGAGTCCTGGGAAGTAAGTCTAAACTGGAAGGTGCAGAGTAAAGACTTACTGGGTTGTGTGGGAAAGGGGCTGAGGGGAAGGTTGTGAGCCGGGGTGTATCCAAGGTGGTTCCAGAGCTGGAGAGGGAGAGTGGGGACGAGTGAGAGAGCGGGTCGGTCAGGATGGATGGACGAATGTGGCAGAGCGAATCCAGAGTCGTGTGGAGTTGTGGTTAGAAAAATCCTGATGTGTCGAGACCTGAGGTGGGTGAGCAAAAAATACAAAATCACACGAATCCAAAAAGTACGAGAGTATCAAAAACCTGATATCGAGACGAGGGCTGGAAACTACCAAACAGTAGCAACCATCCGGCGTCGAGCTGTGTTCTCCATCCATCTTAAATAGTAGACCTGCTGATTGCTGACCAGGTGCACCTGTAGCTCCCTGTCCTGCAAACACACACTCAGAGGTAGGTTGGTGAGAAGGAGTACTCACCCCAGCTCATGACAGTTTGAGCAAAACGAACTAATGGTTCGCTGGAGTTTTTGACAATTAAAATTGCGCCCACATTTTCAAAGTTAAACACATTTCTTTTAACAACGGTAGTTTCTGCTTCAGCCCTCCCCCCCCTCCCCCTGCTTCAGCCCTCCCCCCCCTCCCCCTGCGCAGCGGCCGCAAACCCACTGATGCGCCTGCAGCCTCTCGGAGTTCCTGCTGCTCTAAACATTAAAATAATTATTTCATTTTCTGTTCCTCACTTCTGATTACCTTCAATGGTGTCTGTTTGTTGCAACCAGCAGGTACAAAAACTAACTTGTTTTTATTTGACTGTTTTTCTGTCCTGTCTGTTTATTATCTTCCTGCATCTCCTCTCAATCCTAAAGAGAAACTGCTACCTGGGTTCATATATATTCACCTCATGAGTTACCTTTGAACTGCAGTTCTAAAAGATCTACCGACCGCAAAAACAGCGGAGTGCTCGCCGGCCGCATCGGTGATCGGTGCGTCACCGAGGACAAAACAGGTGATGCGCCCTGCTCCACAGCAGCAAAATGCATCAGGCACAAATAAAAGAATAAAAGAGAGAAAACATAAAAGGAAATGAGCCGACATGAATGATCGCGTGTTAAATTAGTTTTTGAGGTGGCAACACCTGATTTGATAATGTTACTGTGGCCGTGCTCAGGACGCAGATGTCTGGAGCGCGTCAACAATCAGAGCTTTGCATGTGCAAGCTCGTTAAGGTTAGGATGGGGGTGAGGGGAAGGTTAAATTGCAAGAGGGTAAAGGTCACAATTTGGTTAAATGTCCGTTTTACGGCGGGTGTCAGTACCGACGCTCTGGCACAGCGCGTTGCCTCCCGACGCGCAGGAGCTTGTCACCTGCTGACAGCAGGCTGCTGTCTTTTCCGTGGACTGCATCTTGCCGGTCATTATCACGTGACAGCGACTAGTCGATGACAGGCATAACAAGTCACTATAGAGTGGTGAAGTCGACTAGTGACTAGTTCATACAACCCCTGCTATTGCTCCCCAGAGTGTTCTGCAGCATAATCAGCACGTTCTCTTTGAACTTGATATCAAATTTTCGCCTCCTCTTCGTCTCCACACGGTTAAAGTTACCCTCGCGGTCTATCACTGGCAAATCAAAAGTGAGACGATGACACAACCGCCCCCATACTTGCTTGTTCCCACATTCCACCCGGCCACAATAAGAGACCGGCCATTATTCACCTCCTCCGACTCCGACACCGGCCAAAATATGATACCCGGCCGTTAATTGAATACAGGCTAATATTAGAGGATTTACGGTATATGCTGTTATTTTTTTTTTCATTTTGGGGAGGGGTTTGGTGTTTTGTTTGACCACCAAGCCCAAATTCCGCCATAGTTTTGCGTTGTCATAACAGTGATCAGTTGTCCTCACTAAATGCATCACCGCTAGTTGGTATAGCATAAAGCTGCTGCTGCAGCCCTGCAGACACATTTTATGCAGAACAATCAATGATCACATGACTGGTGCCGATGAAGAATGGAGCTGAAGAAGTACCTCAGCGTGCTTTCTGCTTTATCCATCCAAACAAGAGTTCAATTCAGATAACTTATCACTGTGGTTGTGTGTGCGTGTGTGTGTGTGTGTGTGCGTGTGTGTGTGTGTGTGTGTGTGTGTGTGTGTGTGTTTGGTGTGTGCGTGTGTGTGTGTTTAGACTGGCTGGATGATGTGGAACTGGCTGGTGTCTTCGCTGGCAGTTGGAGCCTCTGTGGTTTTATATGACGGTTCACCACTAATGCCAACACCCAATGTGCTATGGGACCTGACCGACCAGCTGGGGTGAGTTAGCCCCCCCCCCCCACACACACACACACACAGAGTGACAAAAAACAAAACAAAAACATGGACATTGTAATATTTGTAGATTTTGAAAGAAGACCACGGCACAAAGTGTAAGATTTATTTTCTGGATGAAATGCATTTACAGTTAAAAGTAAGACAGCCGCTTCAAGAGACGCTTTGAAAAGAGTAGATTTTTTTGTCTTGGTTTATTTATTTATTTATTTTCAGAAAAAAAAAAGCTTTGGAAATGGTTTCCATGTTCTGAGAGTTGTGAGGGGAAGAACTAAGCAACTGAATTTAAAACGATTAAAACAATCAAAAGGAACGTGTGAAATACAAGCAGATATTATATTTTCATGCATCTTTTAAAGTTCACAATAATAATATGTGACTTAAAAAGGATAAAAATGTAAAAGTTTGTCTTAAATAACTCCTGCTTCTCAAATAAGTGCTCCTCAACTATACATCTACAGGTTCTGCATCTATCTGGGTTGATACTGAGATTCAGCATTAACATCGCTTTAATGACGATAACCAATATTTAACACTATTTTAGTTTGTGTAGAAAAACAAACATACATGTATGTATAGGCACACCACTGCCCTTCTAAGGTGATTACTATCATCTACATGACTGAACAAATAATGCATGACCATCTCAAAACAAACACACTAATAACTACTAGACTGACGGTTGTTAATATCGGCCTAGTTTTACTTATTGCACCAAAACTTAAATGTCCATCAGGTTATCATGATGTGAATGTTGATCTATAGAAACTCAAAAATGAAACTGTTCACTTCCTTGTTTGTCTTATTTATTTATTTACTCATTTAAAAAAATTCCAGGAAAACAGAAATGTACTTTAGAGACGGGGAGTTGAGTTTTATTTTAGATGCTCGTCTGTTTAAGAAGATCAAGGTAAAAACAGGTTGAATGAATGCATGAAAACAACCAGAAAGAGTGAGGGCAATGAGGAAGTGAATCCTGGGAGGTGTTTGTTTCTAACTGCAGAATTAATCGGGTGTTTTTCTCTAACCGACGTCTCACACACACACACACACACACACACACACACACACACACACACACACACACACACACACACACACACACACACACACACACACACACACACATGCAAGAGTTGTTACATGAATACAGATTTCTACTAGAATGAATGTGTTTAGAATGAAGATGTTAACTGTATAATAAACATTTCATTCAATGATTTGTTCTGTATTAAAGTGGGATAAAATAAAAAACACGTTTTGGTGAAGAAAAAGTTGTTAAAAGCATAAAAAGTAGAGTTGTTGTGGATGATGATGTAGGTTTGAATGAATCCTTTTACACAACAGCTGATAAAGATGACGTCAACAGGCCAACATGAAACACATTATAAACATTTGTAACCAACATGCTTGTTAATTCTCACAAATAAACACTTTTATTTATGTCTGGAATGATGCGTTTCAACAAAACGGTAAATGGCCTGTACAACCCCCCAAGGCGCTTTACAACATGATCATTCACCCATTCACACGCTGGTGGGGATGAGCTACGATGTAGCCACAGCTGCCCTGGGGCCTGCTGAACACTGGCTCCACCGGTCCCTCCGACCACCACCAGCAGCTTAAGTGTCTTGCCCAAGGACACAACAGCAGCATTCTCTGGATGGAGCCGGGATCAAACCAGCAACCTTCTGATTACTGGACAACCCGCTCCACCTCCTGAGCTTCTGCTGTCACAAAATACAACATGTCATCTTTTTTAACAAAGGACAATTAAAATAGATCTTTAATAGCCCTGTTCCCACCTCCATCAGAACCATAAACACCAGAAACCATAGTGAATGGTCCTGAGTGTGTGCGTGCTGTCAGTAGATGGTGGGTGCCTAACCCTTCCCACACACACACACACACACACACACACACACACACACACACACACACACACACACGCACGCACGCACACACACACACACACACACACACACACACACACACTGGTCTTCGAGTAAGTTGTGTGTGAGCTCTGCTCTTGTAAATTTGCTGCATTTCCAATTAAAACTGGGAAAGGTTTATGCGAGGCCGTAAAGCGGTAATTGCTGCCAAAACACAATCTACCCGCGTGTTGAGCAGCGGTATCTTCAGCAGCGGTATCGTCTCATTTTCTGTCTTAAATTGAGCCCCAGTACGGTTTCTGATGGCATCTGATGAGTTATTTTTCTCACTAAAAACTGGTCTGCTAACGTGTTGGTGGTCTGCTGATGTCTATTATTTAACACTAGTTATGTAACTTATACGCTACACTGCCAGAGTTCATTAATGGATGATCAGGTTCGATAGAAGTCACTTATTAGCCTTATTTCTGTGGGAGGACTTTGAATTATTTTGACTGATTTCTCGGGTTCAGACACTCGAAAATGGACCTAATTTATAATCTTAAAAATATCATTGCAGCAAAGAAATTGTTGCCTTCGACTAATAAATGCTGCAGCTCACACTAGTGATTTAAACCCAGTGTTGGAGATCCATGAGGAGCTTTGTCAGCCCTTAAATCTTACTGCACCTCCTTCAGCAAAAGTTAGAGACTGTGTCATATTAGTTCACGACAGAGAGTGTTACCAACTCACCTTTTCAGAACAAATTTAGAGAAAAAGCACTAGAGTCAGCAAAAGTAAGCCCCTGAATGCAGTGACACCTGCGTGACACATCTTTACAGAAGCTACATCGCCTTCAGCAAGGAAGGGAATAACGGGAAGGACTTTTTGACACACTGGAAGTCGCAAAAGTGCTGCTGCATAAATCTCTGACAGAATCAGTTTGTAGAACCCAAAGTTAGCGGGCTTCATTTGAATCCTGCCAGCCAACTGAGTGATCATTATAATATCAGCTTCAGACTTTGATTGGTTGCTTGGCAGATTGAAGAGTTTGAAGTCGCGCGTTGAGGCAGGAACAGCATGATCGATCTGTTAGAAATCTCCTTGGATTTCAGCCCAATTGCTTGTTTTTTCCCCTGAAATTCTTGGAAACTTCAGTGAAGGAGTTTAAAATATTGTTGGCAAAAACCCACAGACAGATGCATTTAATAAAGGCTTACCGGTATGACCCAAAGATGGATAATACCTCAAACTGTGAGAGTTTTGAACCAATTAAATGCTGATATTGCCACCTAAGACATATTCTTCACAACGCAGAGTGATGCAAAAACCCTCTGGGAGAGACTGCCACGGAGTCTTCTACAGCATCGTCTTCTGAACTGACACTGGACTTTTTAATTGGGACTAAAGCTGTCAGGCTCAGAAAGTATAAAACTTACTGTGAGGTTTAGCCTTTTGCCTTGGATTTCATTAGTCTCTTGTGTCATAATAATACTTTAATAGCTCTATTGCCCCGTCTTTTTGAACATTTAACTTTAAAAGTTACAAATCTTTACTCATACGTGCTTTCGCTGTTATGAAATGGACCCTTTTTACACTTGACCACTTCGGAGTGGCTGTGTCGCCTGAATCCTGATGGAGGATTCCTGAATCCTGAATCCTGATGGAGGTCTGAGATGGAGGAAGAGTGAGCCACTGATCGTGTTCTTCATTTGCAAGTTCAGGACTACAAGATAAGAACAGATGACACCGATTTAAAACAACAAAAGAGAAAAGTACATTCTTGCTGAAGTAGTCATCTTGTTCCGTGACGGTGCTTCCGGTGTTCCTTCCAAACGGGGAACATTCAAAATGAGTATATTTTGGGGAAGAGGAAGAATTCTGTTCTGTAATATTTAATTTAATTTATTTTAGTTTCTAATCTGTAATTGTCACTAGTACATTTGTTCAGACTAGTAAATTGTATTCTAAGGGAATGTTACCATCTTTCAGGAAACCGTGTTTAAAGTAATTGTCCTATTTTACAAAACGTTCCACAATTATAAATGTATGGACTATAGGGATGTCGAGTGTTATCGGCTGATATTGACATTAATGGGCCATTCCCATCTGTACCGGGTCGGCCCGGGCCGGGTAGCCCCAGTCGGCCCCAGCCTGGCCCGGTTGATTCCACACATCCTTGCCTTAAGCCCATGTGGGCTGATTCTACCCACCAATCAGAGGCTTGCTCTAATGGAAGGTGTGAATTTGCTGTCAGCAGTGGGTGTGTTGGCCCTGGTCGGCCTGAAGCAGACCCCCTCCAGAAGAGGGCTGAGAATGAGCCTTGGTTGGCCCGGAACAATACCAGGCCACCCAGATATGTAAACAACCTACGCTACCCGGCCCGGGCCGACCCGGTACAGATGGGAATGGCCCATTAGTGTAATATTACGTTTTCTTAACTGGCCTGAATGACTTGAACTAGTTGTCATATTTTGTATTACGTATTGTTTAAAGCCTGGGAAGGCGTCCTGTATATTTGAACACATAGTCTGGACACAAACCCTTGAAACATCTCAGTTATGGGGCGTAATCTACAGCTGTCTTTCAAATTGTCTTCGCACGCAGTTGGAAAAGGCTAGGACCAATCAGAGGAGCGAACAGCGCGACACATTCATCTCTACAAAAATCGCTCAATGGAGCAGTCCACCATACGCCATCGAAAAAGTAGCAAACGCATCCTAGTTAGACTCAAGGCTCAAGTCTGAATCATTCTAAGCAGAAGTCAAAGCCGTTTCTAACAAGCACCGTTCCTGATTCGCCGCCGCCACATTTGTAGTTTTTTTCTCCTTCATGGCTCTAGTGTTCAATAAACGTACAACCCTGTGATTGGCCAGACACAACGCTGCCTGGGCTAATGGTAGACCTGCTGAGGCGACAGTAGAGCATGACTAGACTGACCTGCAGAGCTGCTATGGTTGGTCTAGATTTCTAGGCTAGCAATCCGGAGTTTTCCCCCTTTCAGGAATTCTGTATGACATTTTTAGAAATCTGTAAAAGTCACACCTGCTTACAGACAGATGTCATTCAAAAGCGTGCCTGCGTGAGCATTTGACGACGTACTTTGGTGCACAG